GGGGGGGGGGGGGGGGGGGCAGCTCGCCCCCCGTTTGCAACACAATGTTCGCATGGTGGGTTTCAAAAAGACTCGTGCGCTTCGCAGGCTCCCCATGTGCAGGGTTGAAAAACACTCACATGCCTTGAAGCAAGCTTGCAGGGCTCGAAAAAGCCGGGGTGTTGCGGAATGTAGTAGTTTCTTAGCTCGGGGTAGGCTTGGCATAGTTTTGGCGATGAACCATGTACATGGATCGTGCGCGTCGTAGCGGCAGATTTCGCGACATCAACCATGGCGGGGCAACTCTCTGAAGCAAATTTGTAGCTGATAAAAATTGTTTCTGAGACTGGGGTAAGTTAGTAAACATAAAGATGTAGTATGGCTTTGGTAATCATATTCACAAGTGTTTCGCGAGCTATTATTAGCACTATTAGTATTATTGGCAAGATTAATATCATTAGTAGTATCAGCAGTATTAACGGTATTAATATTGTTACTATTATTCTTCATATTACTGGTATTACTATTGTTAATATTATTACTATGCCTTTACTATTCTTATGGTCATTACGATTTTTACTAGGACTACTACTGTTATTACTACTCCAATACTGTTAGTACTATAAAGTCCTATTATTATTATTATTAGTAGTATTATAAATACTTACTATTATTCTGGGGGTGCGCCTTTGTTTTTGCGGTCCTTGCAGGGGGCATTGTTTTTTTTGCTGTCGTTGCGAGGGCGCGTTGTTTCTTTGCTGTCGTTGCGGGGGCGCGTTTTGTTTTTGAGGCCGTTGCGGGGGCACTTTCTTTATTTGCTGTCGTTGCGGGAGCGGTGGTTCACTCACTCACTGGCTTCCTGGGTTCGCGCACAGACAGCAAAAACCAACATGAAGCAACAACAGCAAAACCACAAAACACGGTTCCAGCACTAAACCCTCTAAACCACGACAAGCCCTCAAAACTTTCAACTTCCCTTTAAAAGCCCTACAAACTCCTGACTAAGTCTAGGCGCGGTGTCGAGTCCGAGACAGAAACTCCCAGGCAGCCCTGCAAGCCAACCTCGCTCCTCAGCTCGTTACGTTTCTTCTAGCCCGCCTCTTCTCTGCATCTTCATGGGGTTTCGGGCTACGGGTTTAGGGACTTGTCTTGTTGCTCGCCTCTACGGGTTTAGGTTTAGGGTCTATAGGGCTTTACACTCTCACAACTCGGACGGGCCAGGCGAGGTCTATCAGGCGCTGGTTGGCATGAAACAAAGTGAAGCCGCTCGTGTCTGCACGGCTGTCGGGTTCAGGTTTCAGGATATTTTAAATGAGCTTTGTTCGCACAGCCCTACCCGCAAGGGCATACAGTAATATGCCCCACTTGGCACGAGCACACATGTCACTGTAGCTGCTGTAGCTTGGCAAGTCAGCCTCCTGTTTGGGGTTATAGGGTTGAGGGCTTTGGGGGTCCAGGGCTTTCGGGAAGCCTAAACTAACCCAAAGCTTCGTTAACCTGCTATTTGACGAAAGCTTCCTTTTCGCTGAAATCTCTTTTGGCTGAAGCCTTCCTTCAACGGTGAACCTTAAACCCTAAACCCTAAACTAACCCTAAACCCTAAACCCAGTTCAATGATAACGGCCCTGAGTTTACGTCTGGTCTCGAACTTTCTGATTTCGAGGTGTTGAAGCTCGGTGCTTCAGGGCGGCTTTGGGCTTTCGGGTTTTGGGGTTCGGGATTTTGGGCTTTGGAGGTTGTTCTAAAGGGTTGACATATATATATATAGGTATGTATGTATTTGTATATATACATATATGGATAAATAAATAAATAAATATAAATGCAAATATAAATATAATGTAAATAAATAAAAAATTATATACACACACAGCTTTTGGCTCGCGCGCTCGAACGAATCAGGCACAGCTTCCAGCAATCAGTCCCAACGAGCGATGAACACACAAAAGAAAACGTCGTTGAGGAGCAACTAGGAAGTGCCCAATCGCAGCACTCAGCCATCGCCGTGCTATCACAGATCTCGGTCCCAGTTCTCCATTTCCTCCCGCGATGTGCCAGGAGGATGAATGCCTTTGGTGCGGCAAGACTCCGGTACCAATAGTGGGTTCATGCAAGCACTCCACATAACCTCCGACGGCGCGTCGATGTCCAGGTCGAGGCAAGTCCCGGTAGTGAAACAAAACACCTGCCGCTTTGATGTACACGACTTGCACAAGTCCCAAAATTCTTTCGTCTCGCCGTCCCACAACGAGTCAGCAAGGGTCCGAACAACCTGCAAAGCGAGCACGGAAAGCAAGCCATATCGAAGCATCAGCCGGATGAAACACCGTGTATGGCAACACGCGGCTGCACGCTACAAGCCTACGAACTTTCGAATCTGCGACACACCAGTATCTGGATAGTTAAGCTCATGTGCCCCCCTCCTCATATAACACGATTGGTAAAGAGCAGATTGTACCGAAGTGTTGGGGCAACAAGCATCTCTGAAAGCTTGAGCCGACCATGGCTATGGGTTTAGGGTTCATGGGTCTAGGTTTTTTTTTTAAGGGTCTAGGGTTCAGGGTCTAGGGTTTAGGGTTCAGGGTTAGGACATTAGGTGCGCTAGGTTCCAAGGCTTTCGGGCGAGTTGAGGGTTTCAGGATGCTGGCGGTTCCGGCTATAGTGGGGGGGAGCTAAAGCAGCTCTTTTTGCCACATGGTGCTTCAATTTCAGACGGCCCTGAAACTTTCCTTGGAAGGGAGAAGCAGGCCAAGAAGCCGCCATTGATCATCTACCTGCTCCCTGCGCAGAACCCTGTGCCCTGAAGCCCTCTTCGATTTTCGGGTAATTACAGTCGAGCTTCATGTTGCTTGCAATCGTGGTAGTCGTAGTAGAAGTTGCGATTGTCCGCTGCGTAATTGGCAGGAAAGATGGCAGGTAAAGCTGCGAGCCTCGAAATGGGACGATGGCAATCGATGCTGCATCCGACGGCGCGGTGAGAAGGCCCAGGTAAAAAGAGTACCAGGACTCATCGCAGCAGTTCGCAGACAGCTGCGGGTCTTGCTGCTTCGCCACCGTCCCGAGAAGGACCATCTGCTCCCCACAGTCATTTACCAACCAAACCTGGTAGCCATCCACCAGGGACTCCTCTATCCTTGGATTCAGGATTCAGGTTTTTCCACGGGGTTCACAGCATCTGAAACGTGATTTGGAAAGGCCTAGACATTTTGTCCCTGTTGCGAACCAATCAAACCGCCAAGACACTAGCGATGGAATATAGTGAATGAACACATGTGGAATGAATGCACTCACACATATGTATGTTTGCGTATTGTCTATATATATATATAAGATATTCATTCACTATATAACCTATCAACCAGCAAAGCCAAGAGTCTCGCAACTGATGCCCGGACCCCAGCGAACTTCACCAGAGAGGCTGAAGCCAGATCTGCCCCAGTCTTGTGCATAGAGAGTCGCGCACATTTTGCACCCGACCTACGTGGAGATTTTAGGCGGAAATAGGGTTAGAAGATGTTCGAAGTACTTAAGCGAATACGAATAAACAAGGCGAAACCAGTGCCTACAGCAATCGCTGTAAAACAAAAGTTAAAACGCACATGTGACCCATACGTCTGAGTAGCCATGAATGTTCTACCACAAGAAGCCTTCAGGATTTCCCGCTCATTTTTTCAGAAAGCTTTAGCATTGCGGGCAAAGGTGGTAGGTTTAAGTCTTTTTGGGCACTTGGGTGTACATCTAGAGGGTCCTAGCCAAGAAACACTACGGCGGCTCGGCAATCTAATGTACGGGCCTAAATAATTGCCAATACTATTTTGGGGGTTCCTTACTATAACTATAGTATAATGGGCCCCAAAACCCTATTAATTATTGAGCCCCCTGCAGTATGTTCCTGAGGTTCTCAGAAGTCGCAGCAACCTCTTTAACCTGTGAACCAAACCCCTTCAGGAATGACACCAGGCCCTCATATAAGCCCTTTAACATTCGAACAGGGTCAGGGGGGTACAGTGCAATCTAGCTATAGTAGTTTGCAATGAGGAACCTTAAGGATGAAGCTTAACCTCCCAACCCTGCTCACAGAGGTCGCACCCATATAAATTCACAGGATTGCATGGGAAACCTGCATCCTCCGGCAAACACACGGTCGCAGGGTTTTCAAGCGACAGCTTGGGAAGTCCCTTGCGAAAAGAGTGTCACCATGCTGAGAGGGGGCCAGGGGAATTAGCGTCTCTCTGTAAACCCTTACAAACCCGAAAACCCTAAACCCTACACCCCCGAAGCCCTTAAAAATCCTTAGCTCCAAATTCCTGAAACCTTGGAGCTCTTTAGACTCTAAACCCTGAACAACCGGAGATTCCCCAGCGAACCCCTACTGCAAACCCTCAACTTCATCATCCTAAAAACACTCTGAAGCCCTTAATAGGGAGACCTGGAGATCCTAGAACAAGGATCTTACGGTATAGCCTTAGAGACATCTAGGGACCAAGCGGGAGATACCACTATTATCTATTCCTGACCGCCTTTAGTGGACCCCAAAACCCCCTGGGGAGGTGCCGACTGAGCTGTGGACTCGCGCTGCCCGGCTGCCCGAAAGCCCGTAAACCCTAAGCCCAAAGGAGGCCCCCTTATAGCACTCCAAAGCCCCTTTCTTTAAAGGAAACTACAGATGAGGAGTTTAGGGTGTATAGGGCTTCTATAAGGCTTCTATAAGGTATAAAGACCTTCTAAAAGGCTCCTATAACGGTAACTACCCACCTGAAAATGTCTTAGATTTCTTGCTAAACCCTAAGCCCTAGCCCTAAACCCCACACTTCTTTGGCTACTGGACTTGAGGACTAGCCAGATCCGTTCGACCTAAGCCCTAAACTTCAACCCTAAACCGACCCTAGGCCCTAGACCCAAAGGAGACACCCTTTTTGGCACCCCAAAGCCCCTAAACCCTAGACCCCTAAACCCTAAACCCCTAAACCCCTAAATCCTAAACCCTAAACCCCTAAAACCCTGAACCTTACACCTTAAACCCCAAACCCCTAAACCCCTAAACCCTAAACCCAAAGGAGACCAGGCCTCTTCTACGGCCACAGAGGCCGCTGGGCACAGCAAGGTGCCCTCCTCTTGCCCATGGTCTTTGGGCTCGTGATTTAGGGGTTTAGGGTTTAGGGTTCATAGGGTTTAGGGGTTTAGGGGTTTAGGGTTTAGGGGTGTGATTCTGCGCTTGGAGAATTCATACTGTAAGGGTAGTTTTCCAAATTAAAGTCCCTTTTCAGGTCGCCAATATAGTACGGCACCCTTATTTAAAAAAGACCCCCAAAGGGACCCTAATTTAGAGAACTACCCCTAGGGTTTAGGGCAGTACGACTCTGATTAGCAGTGGGAATGCGTTCATGAATATTCTCACAGCTTTGCGATATATATATATATATTTGTTTAGAACAGGTAATCACGACAAGTACTCTTTCAGGGGCTACAGGCTGCTTCAGGGGGTTCGACTTCGGGTTACTTCGTGTCTTTCACTAAATCTTAGCGCTCTGACTTTGGTAGTCTTATGGGATGGAAAAAACTATGAAAACACTCTTCGCAGAAACCCTAAGTAGCCCTTACGGGCTTATACCCCGAACTTGCATATACCTTCCCACGACTTTTGGTTTATGGTTTAGGGGTCTAGGGTTTATAGGCGATTCCCAGCACAGTAACTCAATACATACCAGGCACCATGCAGATGGCAGGACAGGGCGCAGGCAGTGCCGATCTAGGATGTAAGCCCAGCCCCCGGAACTCTAAACCCCCCTAACCCCCCAAAAAGCCCTAAGTCCGAGGCAACCTAGAGCCCCCTAAGCCGAACGGCGTCGAGCCCTGGGGCCCCTAAGGGACACTAAACCTTCGGAACACCACACCTAAAACTCCTGAAGCCATGAACCAAGCAGGCCGAAGCCCCAAACACCATGTCCCGTCAAACTCCTAAGCCTCGGCCCTATTATGGCCCCTTATCCTACTGGACCCTTGAAAAGCATATCCCTAAAACCATTAGGCTACTAAAACCCTGGATGACCTAAAACCCTTTATCCTCCAACCTGAAAGCCGACCCCCCTAAACCCGAAAATGAAACAAAAGCCGAAGCGTTAAACTCTCAATCCCTGCCTACAGTACCCGTCTAGCCTCATCACCTCAACCCGAAACAGCCTCCTAGACAGTCTTAAGCAACGAAATCGCCCAACATCCCAAAACGACGCGTCGCTCTTCTGTGGCGGTCCTTGGGGCCCTCGCCGCAGCCCGGATGCCGCACCGAGCCCACTGGAGCGAGGCAGCCGTCGGTGTTCGACGCCGCCTGGGTACTTTGGGGTCCTCCTTGGGGTTTTGGGTTTAGGGCCAGGGTTTATAGGGGCTTTGGGGCTGTGGCGCTTGTTTTGACATCTAGGGCTTGGCGTTCCGGGGTTTTGGGCTCTGGGGCTTTTGGATTTGGTGCCTTCCGCAGAGAGCCCAATACTCCTTAGTTAAGGAATATATACCTTAAATTATATGGGCCTTAATCAATATTCTGATTTAAGGTATATTCCTTAATCAAGGGGTATTGGCTCTCTAGGTCTTTCAAAAGGATTTAAAAAAGGGTTTCCGTGTTGAGAAATTTGGGCCTTGGGGGTCTTGAAGCCCGCGGTTGGGAGACCCCGAAGATCGCTGCGAAAGGGTCCAAGTTTAAGACACATATTAGTATGGTGTAAGGTTTGTTCCCACCCGCTTTAGGGTTTAGGGTTTAGTAGGGTTTTAGGGTATGGGGTTTAGGGGTTCATAGTAGTAAGGTTTAGGGTTTAGGCCTTGGGGTTTAGAGGTTCATAAGTCAGGGTGTGGTATAGTAAGGTTGTGGTCCACGGCTCTTAGGGCTCATGGGGCTTGGGGAATTTCTGCTTGCTCCAAGCGCTTAGTGCCTTTTGTGCGGGTTGTTCCAGACTGGGGTCCCGAAGTAAGGGCACTTCATGGACTTTCACTGTTGGGGGGAGCTTGCTGTAGAAAGCGCTATGCTACACAGATCTACACAGTATACTTCTTGCAGCCGAATCTTGTGCAGCTGCCATTGGCGCTCCCATTGCAGCATAGCTTCAGTACGTAGGTTTGTTGATCAGCTTTCTCGACGATTCTTTCAGGGTCCCTTCTGCCGGGCTTTACACCTTGGCATGTGTTAGTTTCGGTTTTCCTGGCTGCTGCCGAAATTGAAGTGTTCAAGCCGCCTGGATCTTTTATCGTTTCTGCGGCTCTTTGATTAGCGCCAGGTCTCCGGATGTGGCATAAACCCTAAACCCTAAACCCCAAACCCTAAACCCTAACCCCTAAACCCTAAACCCCAAACCCTAAACCCTAAACCCTAACCCCTAAAACCCTAAAACCCTAAAACCCTTAAACCCTAAACCCTTCGAA